TCATCTCTCTCTCTCTCTCTCTCTCTCTCTCTCTCTCTCTCTCTCTCTCTCTCTCTCTCTCTCTATATATATATATATATATATATATATATATATATATATATATATATATATATATATATATATATATATATATCGACAAACTCTTCGCGGCCAGATCTGTCTACTCCACCGCTGCTCCCCCACCGATGTTCGTCGATGCTCTGCAAGCAGCAGCCGCCCGCCACCGTCTGCCACCGCTGCTCCCCACGCTGAGAACGGATCCATATTCCACCGCACGGGATTCGTATTTCGACGATGATTTGTATTGCCGGAGAATAGGATATGTATCCCGGCCGCAATCGACTAATGCTGCACGAGTTTCTGGCTTGGTAAGATTGGAACTCGATCGTCCCTTGAAAAATATGAGGTAATTTGTTGTAATTTTTAACTGTTTCATCAATTGATGTTGGGCACTTGTATTAAATTCGAACTATGTGAAAGAAAAATATTTCCAATTTTATTAGAAATGATGATTTACCTAATTGTTTAGGTATTTTTTTTCCTGTAATAAAATGAATTGCTTGATTGAATTGTTTTCTTTGAGTTGGGCGGCGGAGTAGAAGGGTGATGGGAGGTTTTGCTTTTTTTTTTTTTTATATATATATATTTACTGCGTTTATATGATTAAATAAAATTAACGTTTTTTTTTATAGGTGTAAATGAGTTTTATTTATATGTATATACAATAAGACGAAGTATAACTACATGTGACTATAGTTGATTATATAGTCACATGTAGTCATATATACTCACATGTAGTAACAAGAAGCAACATAACTAGATGTGACTATAATTGACCACATGGGATTATAGTTCACTAAAGTAAATGTGTCAAAAGAAATGCTTTTCATTGTTTTTGTATTTTAAATTTTTTAATTTCATGTAATTTAATTCGCGTATTCCATTTTTAATTTGTTCTTCGTTTTCTTTAACTCGTATATTTTTTTTCTCACAAGTTTTGCTATTTATATAACTTGCAGAGAATAAGATGCTGAGAAGTGTCATGTGAAGTTACATTCATGTTACAGTACTCCAGACTTTATGTCACTATACGTAACTATAGATGATTGTAGATAACTATAGTCACATATATTTATATGTATGCTTTATGTTTTTTAATGTACAGTAATGTTTGTTTATGTTTGAAGAATATATGTTTTTTTTTTTGGTTAGTTCATTGTAATATCAAGTTCTAAATTGTGAATTTTGTTATTGCTGTAGATTAATTTTGGGGCAAAAAGACAGTACATGACTACATAAAACTATACATGACTAGAGGTGCAAAAATGCACCAAAAAAAATCAAGTATCAGATATTCCTAAAAATTAGGAATTGCAATTTCAACGTAAAAATAATAGATTTTCTAACAAATTCCTATGGAATAGGGAAAAAATATATCTATTAATTTATGATTAATACATTTTTAAAAATAAAATAATTTATTTGATTCCTACGGGTTGGAGCATATAAATTTTTTCGAATTACCAAAGTATTTCAAGCATTAATTAAGGGTTTAGATTTCTCATTTTAATACCTACCATTGGAGTTGCTCTTACATACAAGTTTTAATCCCAACTTGGAACTCACGTACATTGATCATAATTTAAAAGCGTTTTTTAATTATTCAATTAAATGCGTTTAGTTACCTACATTGAAACAGCATAAGCACTCTATATATAAAGCAAAATCTATTATATGTTCACTGAAGAATTCTCATAACAACAAATTAAATGAAATTTAAATCAACTATTATTACAAGATCCCAAAACAAAAAATAAAAAAATAAATTATTCAATAAATAAATTAAATCTTCATTAGGGTGGGAACATATGGAACCCTAGCAGCTTTAATCCATTCATCGCCCTTAAAGGCAACACCACCGGTCCAGCTCTGTGCAATCTCTGGTGTGATTTTCTTAATACCCTTCCATGTGACCCGGTTCGCTAGACCCGACCCGGCTCCACGGTTCTGGTACTCTCCGTAATAACATGTATCCAGAGCAAAGTTACCCATCCATGGCGACCACCCATCTGGTGAAATGAATCCGTCAATATCTGATTGCATGATTATTGTTCTTGAGAGCTCCTTCCATGGCCGGCCCAGGTAAGCATCTATCGCCGGTTTTGTCGCTAGGAAAGCGGCTTCGGCGGTGATGTGTCCGTTCTGGATGACGATTGCTCCGACGCTGCGTGGGTCCACGCGCCCCTGTGCGGTGACCATGCACGCCTGGTTGTCCATCGGCTTTCTGACGATGAATTTACAGTTCTGGAAGAGAGAGAGTGAATCACCGAAGATGAAATCGATCGTGCCGGAGATTGAGCAGTCGCTGTAGAACTGTCTGTAGTTGTGTGCGTACAGTGTGTCTTGGTACCCATCGATTGCCACGTTGTAGAACACTGCCTTGTCGCCGGAGACACGTAGCGCCACCGCCTGGTGCCCCTCAGCTCCGGCGGTGTTCTCGAATCCGATGTTCTTTGCGGTGAACTCCTCGGCGTTGACGGCAACGGTGGCGGTTTGGAAGGTCTTGACTCCGCCGGCGAAGCTCTTGCTGCCGGTGATTCTAGTCTTGAGAGGACCGTCGCCGATGAAGACGATCTTGTTCATCTTCTTTGGGATTTCGACGTGTTCCTTATAAACACCGGCTTTGATGTAGATGACGAATGTCTTTTCATTGTTCTTTGGGACTGAATCAATGGCTTCTTTGATTGTCTTGAATTGACCGGAGCCGTCTTGTGCTACGACGGCGTTGGGCTTTGCGTAAGCCTTCCCTCTTCCTTTAAGAACCCTTCTGTTGATCCAATCATCGTTGGAGAACAGCCTTCTGCTTGTGGTGGCGCCGCCGCCTAGGTTTCCGAGCTGCAACTGTCCGATAATGGAGGAAACATCGGAAACCATAGCCAAACCATTGCTGGACAATTCTCTGGCAGTTTTCAACAGATTCTTCATCTTCTCGGCGGTGTCGCCGGTGGTGTTTTCGAAGGCGTCGATGCATGTTTCCTGGTAAGTGATGACGGCGCTCAGCCACACTTTCAGATCCTCCACGTATTCGTCGACCTTGGTGGCGTCGAATGCGCCGACTTTGTCGCCGGCTCTTTTAAGATCGTCGATGGCGGATTCGAGCACGTCGTTGCATATGTCTAAGGCGTCTTTGGTGCTGTTATCGGCGGCGGCGTCTTTCAAGAGGGCAGAGTTTTTGATGGCTTCGCCGATGTTGTTGACGGCGGCGTTGAAGGCAACCTTGATGAGCTCCTTAGGGTCGGTGGTGTTGGCGCCGGAGAGGCTGCTCTCGCAGGTCTCCTTGTAGTCGGTGGGTGAGCATATCGCATGCACCGCCTTGTTGGCCGTGCTGATTCCTCCGCCACTGCCGCCACCGGTGGAAGGTGCAGCGGCGTTGCCGCCGCTGTTCCTCTCAACACCTACAGTGACGCAAATAACCATAGCAACAAGAAGAACGGAAGCGAGACCTCCGATGAGGATCTTCTTCTTCTTTCCATCGTCCCCCATTTTTTTTTTAATTTAAATTATTATTTCTTCAGTGATTATTTCAGAGATCAGAGGGGGATGGCTACCTTTATTAAATGAATCCCCTTTTGAAACTCTGAAGCTGATGATTATTTCGATGAGAAGAGTTATGTATTTATAGTTGGATAATTTGTTCTAAGATGTCTAAATTTAGACAGATGGAAGAAGATGAATAATGTAGGGTTGTCCGATAATATCGGTGCCGGAACCCTAGGGTGGCCATGCATTTCAATTAGTGGTTGGCCGTACGTTGTGATTTTTTTATTTGAATGTGCAATTATCCAAAAAAAAATATTACATTTGTTTAAAGCTCTACTATTTTAATGTTCGTAAGATATAATTCAAATTTATTCGATAAATTAACATTAAAACACACATATATACATGAATGTGTGAATGTGGTACACAAATATTTTTTATAAGTTTAATTAAATTAAACTAGTATATCTGGAATATATAATCATTAGAACTTAAAATTACCAAAAATTAGAAAATGTAAACTTAGTAAGTAAATATGTAATATTGCTGAAAGTTACAATTTATTTGGAATATTAATAAATTTAATAGAAGCCAGAAGGCAACCCTAAACTATATATGGAAATGACATAATTTAATAGAGACAAAAGTTTAACCTTTTTATGTTATTCTTTTTCTTTTCTTTTTTTAATTGTGGTGTTTTGTAAATGTTAGAAATTTAAATCTATTAGAAGATAGAGACATAATATCGGGCGCTCGCAACTCGGTACAAAATCAAGCTAATAGAGATGGCTCGGGAAGTGGTGTGGTATTTAGAAAGTGGGACAAGATTTGGAGCATCTCACTTCCCTCGAAAATTAGATTGTTTTTATGGCGTGCATGTGCAGATATTTTACCGACCAGAGCTGAACTTTTTCGACGAAAAATACCTGACTGTCCAATCTATATGCGTTGCGGCGAGAGGGTTGAAACACTCTTGCATGTCGCTCTACATTGTAGTGGCATGGATAAGTTATGGGCTGAGCAGCCGTTTACACTTGACATTAGTTCCGTCTTCCTCTCTACATGGGATTGGTTTGAGAGAATGCAACTGAAATGGAACGAGGATACTATACAGCTTGCAATAATCATTATCTGGAAAGCTTGGGAATCTACAAATAATGAGATGCATGGAAAACCAAGCCTCAAGCCGCTGAATTTTACCAGTTGGAGTTGATCGTATATATTTGGAGTCGTATAAACAAGCAGGGCCGGTTCTGAGGGGAGGCGAAGTAGGCGGCCGCCTAGGGCCCCCGAATTTTTACCAAAATTTGGGGCCCCCAAATTATTTTATTTACATTTTATATATTAGTACTTATTTTTTTAAAATTTATTATATATAATACTTTGGAACATCGGTTCTAAAATAAATTTAATCTAAATGATCAATAGATATTTTTGCAATTTTCCAAACTTTGGGGCCCCTAAATATTAAATTTATAATGTCTTAATTACTTATTTTATTCTAAAATAAGAATCAATATTCATTAGTGTATTTAAGTTTATAAATATTTATGAAGTCTATTTGCTATAAAGATTATACGTCACGGGAGGAAGTGAACTAGCAAATCATATTGTTAATTTTGAATTTTTTTCCACATTTTTTGCTACTTTATATTCATACATTTCAAAAAATATTTCGGGGGCACAGCCCCCCGAACCCCCACAATCTTGTATTTCATCATTTTTAGAAAATATTATTTATATTTTTTTAATACATTCAATTTCGAACACCCGTTAATAAAAAAAAAATGGTTTATCAAATAGGGGGCCCCTGTTTTCAGTTGTTCTTTAAATCTCGCCTAGGGCCCCCGAATTCTCAGGAACGGGCCTGTAAACAAGCACAATTTTCACCGGTGATAACTATGACCCAACGCCATCCTAGTAGATGGAAAGCTTCACATGTGGGTCTTATTAAAATAAATGTTGATGCAGTTTTCCAAATGGGGTGGAATTTTATTGTACTGCGATGGTGGCTCGAGATTGGAACGGAAAGTGTTTATGGTGGAGTGTGATGCAGCGTTCGGGCAGACCAAAAGTGATTGAAGGCGAGGCTCATGCGATTCTTCATGCACTTACCAAGGGTCGGAGTAGAGGCTTGGAAGAAATTATTGTTGAGAGTGATTGTCTGCCTGTCATTGAATCCCTCACCATAGGCAATCTTCTGGAGTCAACTTATGGTACTTTCTTGGAGGAGAGCCTGGCTCTGTCCAAATCGTTTAGAAACTGCTCGTTTTCATTTGTCAAACGAAATGGTAATAGACTAGCTCATTTATTAGCTGCTAAGGTGGATTTTTCTTGTACTGAAGATGATAACCTTCCTTTTGAGTATGGCGAATGATGTCTAATAATACTGATTTATTTAAAAAAAAAAAAAAAGGTAATTATAAACATTACATTAAAATGTAGAATAAACAAATTTAATCATATTTAATCATATATTTTTTTACAACCGAGAGCAAACCAATTTAATCATATTTTTACCTTGTGGATGGACATGTTGGAGAGTGAAGGTCTTTCATTTGCTAGTGCAATTCGAATTATTATTATTTAAAAAAATATATATATTAGAATTTTACATATTAGTAGTTTAGTTTTATGATCATTTTATAAAAGTGAGTGTTCTTATCGTTTTAAATTTATGAAAGATGTTAATTTTTTGAAAAAGATCTTAATTTTTTTTAAAATAAGCTGTTGGAGAGCAAATAAGATATTTTTAAATAAGTACCCCTACCCCACCTTTTTATTTAAGATCTTTTAATGAGTAAAAATAGGAAATAAGCCCATTATCCAAACACTCTAAAAATTAATCTTAAAAATAAGATGTAACAACTTATCAGCTCTTAAAACATCTTATCAGATGTAAGAGCTTGTCAGCTGTTTAAAATAAGCTTAGTCAAACACCCTCTAAAACTTATATGACTTCGGAAATTACAAAAAGTTTATAACTTTTGGTATTGAAATGAACTTCTAGACTCCAAAATTTTTGCAATTAGAATTGAAACTATTTATATATTTTTGAAGAAAAAAATTGAAAATTTTCCGAAATTGTTCACTGCATCCAACTTCCACCCCCAAATAATTTATATAAAGTACAATATTACATTGGTGTATGATGTATTTTTATTGAATTTGTACTTCAATTTTGAAATATGCTGGACAGTTTCAAACACCATAGAGTAAAAGAAGGATCGGAAAATACTAAAAATACTAAATTATTATGCATGTACAATATTAGAAGCAAAATTAACCACTAAATATTGTCTTAATTAACGGCGTCCGTTAATTTGGTCTAAACGCCGTTCTTTAAATACCCTTGTCTTGTTGTTAACAAATTCATCACATTCATTAACACAGAGTTCAAAGGGAGAAGGCCCTCTAAGAGCTCTGTTAATAAATTAATTATCACTGAAGAAATAAAATAATAATAAAAAAATATATATATAATTAAAAATGGGTGACTCCGACGGTAATAAGAAGAAGATTATCGTCGGCGGGATGGCTTCCGTCCTTCTTGTGGCCATGGTTGTTTGCGTTACAATCGGTGTTTCCGGCAGAAACAGCGGCGGCGACGCCGCTGCATCCAACAGCGGCGGCGGCGGCGTTAGCACCAGCACCAAGGCGGTTCAGGCGATTTGCTCTCCGACGGATTACAAGGAGACCTGCGAGAGCAGTCTCTCCGGCGCCAACACCACCGACCCTAAGGAGCTGATTAGGCTGGCTTTCAACGCCGCCGTCAATAACATCGGCGACGCTATCAAAAACTCCACCCTCTTCAAAGACGCCGCCGCTGATAGCAGCACCAAAGACGCGTTTGATATCTGCGACGACGTGCTCGGTTCCGCCATCGACGATCTGAAAAGAGCCGGCGACAAAGTCGGAGAATTCGACGCCACCAAGGTGGATGAATACGTGGAGGATCTGAAAGTGTGGCTGAGCGCCGTCATCACATATCAAGAAACATGCATCGACGCCTTCGAAAACACCACCGGCGACACGGCGGAGAAGATGAAGAATCTGTTGAAAACTGCCAGAGAATTGTCCAGCAATGGTTTGGCTATGGTTTCCGATGTTTCCTCCATTATTGGACAGTTGCAGCTCGGAAACCTAGGCGGCAGCACCAGCCGGAGGCTGCTGTCGGAAGACCCCTACTGGATAAAATCCCCTCATACCAGAAGACTACTTTCCGCCGCCGCAGCACCGTTGAAGCCAAACGCCGTCGTTGCACTAGACGGGTCCGGCCAATTCAAGACAATAAAAGACGCAATCAACACCATCCCAAAGAAGAATACGCAGCCATTCGTCATCTTCATCAAAGCTGGTCTGTATAAAGAGCATGTCGAAATCCCGAAGAAGGTGAACGGAGTTGTGATGATCGGAGAAGGACCTTTGAAGACCAGAATCACCGGCAGCAAAAGCTACGCCGGCGGTGTCAAGACTTTCCACACTGCCACAGTCGCCGTCAACGGTGAAGACTTCATGGCCAAAGACATCGGATTCGAGAACACCGCCGGAGCAGAGGGGCACCAGGCGGTGGCACTCCGCGTCTCCGGCGACAGAGCCATCTTCCTAAACGTCGCCATCGACGGGTACCAAGACACACTGTACGCGCACAACTACCGACAGTACTACAGAGACTCCACCATCTCCGGCACAATCGACTTCATCTTCGGAGACTCACTCGCCTACTTCCAGAACTGCAAGTTCATCGTCAGAAAGCCAATGGACAACCAGGCATGCATGGTCACAGCACAGGGGCGCGTGGACCCACGCAGCGTCGGAGCAATCGTCATTCAGAACGGTGACATCACCGCCGAGCCAGCTTTCCTGGCAACAACACCGCCGATCGATGCATACCTAGGCCGGCCATGGAAGGAGCTCTCAAGAACAATCATCATGCAGACAAACATCGGCGGGTTCATTGCGCCAGAGGGATGGTCGCCATGGATGGGTAACTTTGCATTGGATACATGTTACTATGGGGAGTACCAGAACCGTGGAGCCGGGTCGGGTCTAGCGAAACGGGTCACGTGGAAGGGTATCAAGAAAATAACACCTGAGATTGCTCTGAGCTGGACAGCTGGACTTGCATTTAAGGGTGATGACTGGATCAAGACCGCCGGAGTTCCATATAATCCTTCCTTCATGCAAACTTTATAATTTTTCTTTTAATTATTAATTACTTTTTTTATTTTTATTTTTATTTTTATATTTAATGGTTAGTTCCATTTGTTGTAATGTGATCATGATATAAAAATTCTTCAGTGAGTATATGTATTTTTTTAATTTGCTTATGATATTAGCACATTTCTCAATTCAATTTTTAATTTTTAACACACATATATCCATTTAGAAGAAAAACATGTGGCAAATAAAGATATGATCACTTAAATTAGATATTTTTAGTTAAATCTATAACCATTTGAAACTTATGTCCCTAGCAAATTAATTAACAAACCATTAATTAATTGATACTTAATTATGACTCGTTATTTATTATATTAATGCATGCACTAATGAATTGATTTAAGTTGAAATATTAAATGGCGAAAATAAATGTTTTGTAAGTTCGTAAACCCGTTAAGCTATGTTAATATAGTTAGAGTAATTAATTTTATACAAGAATAAAATAAAAACTTTGAGGCTCTAATTAAAGAGGATTAATGTGATTCCATGAGGTGATTAATGATATTTATCATGGTTTGAAAACTTTAAAATGTTTTTAGGAAGATAATTTTGAGATGTTGAAATTAGATTGTGAAATTGCTATGTAATTAGAAAAAACGCCGTCAATTCGCACATGTGGAAGTATAGCATAAAATTATGGGAAAATAGGGGTTTATATTCGGAAATCAATTGTATTTCAGTCAAAAATAAACTATATCTCATGAAATATGTCTGATTTAATCTCAGCCATCCGACATCGTCGCTAAGACTCCCAAAATTCTAGTTCATGTTATGAAAGTTTTAAGAAACATATGATATTAGACTCATTCAAGAAAACCGGTTACATTTAACCATTATAACTCATTTTTGCCGTTTTGGTTAATTTTCGTATTTTATGAGGTATTTATTACTTTTCAGCATTAATATATGTAATTATATAGGTATATATATGTATTAACTCGAAATTATTGAAGTTAATAGTAAGAAAAAAAGTTTGTGATTAGAAAATAACCAGCTGTTTCACGAGAATGGTAATCAATACTTCATTTTTAAAGACTATTTCGATCTAAGTTTGGCTCGAAATTGGAAATTCAATCAGAATTGCGTTAGTACTCAAGTAATTAGATGTTAAACCTGATTATTTACATTGAGTGAATTTTAACCGTAAATCTACACATAGTCATCAAACACACACTCATGTGTATAAGTGTTTAGTGGGTGGTTACTTCATCAAATCTACTATTAAAAACTATGCAATATAAATAACTAGGTGTAACATCTTATAACTTTCCACGCACATTTGTAGATTTTTATCAACTGGTGTCCACGTGGATAATATCAATATATCATAATTCCCCTATAGATGGTTGAAGCTAGGTTATTCTTGTTAATTTGGGAACATATAGACCTCTTTTATGGCTTATATTTTTAGGGCATGTTATGGATTATATCAAACATTATTTATAATAATTAATGGAGAAAGGATGAACGAGAATAATATATTGGTCAATATATATTATTTATTATTTTTTTTAATACGTGCATGGTCTACTTCTAATTATGGAATTCTACCTTGATTATTTCTATCCAACAAAATCTCAGTCAATAAATATTAAATCTGGAATTTTAAATTTACCCGAATTAATTCGTACCAAGTATGTAACTATTTTTACGTTGGAATTATTTGCATGTGTGGCTATTTCTATTCTCGTACATTTTTCTAATTATAGAAACCTTAATTTTCTCAACGGTCTCGAATGTTTGTGTCAACACTATAAATAATCATTATTCAGATACACCAAATAATATCAGCACTCATCCCTCAGAGTTTCAAAGGGGATAATCGACGGTCAGAAATAAAAGAATAAAAGCCCCCGCCAAAACTCTGAATTAATTAAATAAATAAAAAAAATACAAAAAGGGCAAAAAGGTAAAAAAAAAAAAAATGGGTGACCCAGCTAAGACAAAGAAGATCGTCGCCGGAGGGCTGGCTTCCGTCCTTCTGGTAGCGATGGTTATTTGCGTCACCGTCGGCGTCTCCGGCAGAAACAAATCTGGCGGCGATGCTGCTGCATCTAGCAGCAACGGCGGCGTTAGCACCAGCACCAAGGCGGTGCATGCGATTTGCACTCCGACCGACTACAAGGAGACCTGCGAGAGCAGCCTCGCCGGCGCCAACACCACCGATCCTAAGGAGCTCATCAAGGTGGCTTTCAACGCCGCCGTCAACAACATCGCCGACGCCATCAAGAACTCCACCCTCATGAAAGACGCCGCCGCGGATAACAGCACCAAGGACGCGCTCGACGTCTGCAACGACGTGCTCGAATCCGCCGTCGACGATCTGAGAAGAGCCGGCGACAAAGTCGGCGAATTCGACGCCACTAAGATGGACGAATATGTGGAGGATCTGAAAGTGTGGCTGAGCGCCGTCATCACATACCAAGAAACATGCATCGACGCCTTCGAAAACACCACCGGTATATATATATATATATATACATACATATACATATATCTATATATATATTGTTAGAGAGAGAAACAAAAACAGTTTTTTTTTTTACATTATAAAAATGCAGGTGACACGGCGGAGAAGATGAAGAATCTATTGAAAACTGCTAGAGAATTGTCGAGCAATAGTTTGGCAATGGTGTCGGATATTTCATCAATTCTTGGCCAGTTGCAGCTCGGAAACCTAGGCGGCGGCGGCGCCAGCAGCGGCAGAAGGCTGATGTCGGAGGAAGAAGAGCCCTACTGGACAAAAGGAAGGCTCCTCGCCGCCAACCCGTTAAAGCCAAACGCCGTCGTAGCACAAGACGGCTCCGGCCAATTCAAGACGATCAAAGAAGCAATCAACACCATACCAAAGAAGAACAACCAGACATTCATCATCTACATCAAGGCCGGTCTGTATAAGGAGCACGTCGAAATCCCGAAGAAGGTGAACAAGGTCGTCTTCATCGGCGACGGGCCGTTCAAGACAAGAATCACCGGCAGCAAGAGCTTCGCCGGCGGAGTCAAGACCTTCCAAACCGCCACCGTCGCCGTCAACGGCGAGGAGTTCACCGCGAAGAACATCGCCTTCGAGAACACCGCCGGAGCAGAGGGCCACCAGGCGGTGGCGCTCCGCGTCTCCGCCGACAAAGCCATCTTCCAGAACGTCGCCATCGACGGGTACCAGGACACACTCTACGCGCACAACTACCGCCAGTACTACCGCGACTGCACAATCTCCGGCACGATCGACTTCATCTTCGGCGACTCGCTCTGCCTCTTCCAGAACTGCGTCTTCATCGTCAGAAAGCCGATGGACAACCAGGCGTGCATGGTCACCGCACAGGGGCGCGTGGACCCACGCAGCGTCGGAGCAATCGTCATCCAGAACAGCCACATCACCGCCGAACCCGCCTTCCTGTCGACAAAACCGGCGATCGATGCTTACCTAGGCCGGCCATGGAAGGAGCTCTCAAGAACAATCATCATGCAATCCGAAATCGACGGCTTCATTTCACCAAAGGGGTGGTCGCCATGGATGGGTAACTTTGCACTGGACACACTGTACTACGGTGAGTACCAGAACCGTGGAGCCGGGTCGGATCTAGCGAACCGGGTCACATGGAAGGGCATTCAGCATATGACCCAACAGAAGGCTGAGGAATGGACCGGAGGCGCCGCCTTCCGCGGTGACGAATGGATCACCAGCTCCGGTGTTCCATATGTTCCTACCCTCATGCAAGTTTAATTTATTTTAATTTTATAATTTTAATATTATTTATATTTAAACAATTTTGTGTGTATATATAGTAATAGTTAATAATTACTCTTTGTGAAGTGAGATATAGTCTAAATAGGGAAATGTAACCCTATTTGGGCATTGCATCCACTCTTTAATTTTTTTGTATTTTCGAAATCGATGAAATAAAGTTTTGTTTTCATTTATTAAATTGATTTTACTTAGCCGTATGCATTTTTTTTAATAGTTTTTTCATATTATCGTAAACGAATTATAATAATAAGCATTAAACAAACTAATCAAAATTAATTAATAACCTCTATTAAAAAAAAATCTTTAGGTCTCGACTCGATGACAACGTCCTTAATATTTAATTCGATAAGTTAATACTTTGTTAAATTATTTTAATTTTCTCAATAATCTCGTTATTTTTTCTAGTTTATTTAATAATAATTTATAAATGTCCTTTGTTTTAATTATCACAAACAAGTAATCTCGAAATTTTTTAAAATCGTTTATGTACGTATTTTAATTTGTATGCTGCATCAAACCGAGCTTAATTTGATGATCAAAGAGTAAAATTGTGATTTAGATAGGGCTAAAATCGTAAATTGGATTTATTGGGCCAATTTTGTAAAATTGAATTGGGCTAAAATTGTAGAATTAGATTGGGCTAAAATTGTAAAATTGGATTTGGCTAATTAATATATGAGGCCCAATTCATACATTTCTCAAGAAATCTGATGCTTCTGCCTTACTCGAGCGGGAAAACATTCCCAAAAACTTTCAAACTCTTTTCATTCTCTCTCTCTCTCTCTCTCTCACACACACACACACACACCCATACACACACGCGCACACACACACAGAGCGATAATCTTTGCTATCAATCTATAGATGCATATGCAAATTGCAAACTCACCCATCAAAACCCCTGAATTTCCTAACCCTAGATTTCGTGTTACTGTAGAACCTAGCGACAAAGAATTATATCTGTGATGGAAAATGTGAATTTTTGTACAGAAAATGAATATTGACTGCGACAATCCTGAATCTTCTTCCTCCGGGAGATTTCTTCAAACCGTGCGGCCACTTCGCGACCTTGAATCGAACTGGACCGTCGATTTGGCTAAGAATTTGGAGGAATATTTACTTAAAATTTGCTCAGGGCAGATCTCCGGTGACGAAGATGCCATTTTCTCTGTAAACTTTGCCGAAGGTAGATAATTTATTGGAAAATTTTAACTTCTATTTTTACAACGAGAGGGTATTATTATTTTCTTTCTACTTAAGCTGTTTTCTGTGTTGGGTAAAATTTGTAGCTGCATTGCTGCTTCAGGGATCTGTGCAGGTGTATAGTAGGAAAGTGGAATATTTGTATTCATTGGTTCTTCATGCTCTAGAATTCGTTTCCAAGAATAGGTTTGATTTCTAGCCCTCTTTGTTATTTTTATATTTTTATTTTACTTCGGTTCCTTGTTTGTGGATTTGCTACTAGGGTTTTGCTAGCTTAGCCCTCTTCTTGTGGATAGAAAGGTCAAACTTTGTGTAGTGAATTTAGTTTGTTTTGTTGTTTTATATGGTTCAAATGTCTAAAGCTTGCAGGGATTAAGAATTATTATATAAATTGAACTATATATTCAATTGAAGGAGTTAGGGTCCTTTTCAATGTAATCTTGTGGGGACAAGTAAGCAAACTACTACCTGTAGTAAGGTACTTGGAAAGATCAAAGATGGTTTTCAGTAGTGGCACCTAAGTTATTGAAATGTTTCTAAACGTTCTTGGTGCATGAGGTTCAACTATATTGGGGTTTTACGAGTTTCTTTTCTTTGTATTTCATCTTTTTCGGAGGATTGTTTTGTTGAGTTGCTTCATGATAGTGAAACAGATAGGTGTTGATGGATTAAAGTCATTTTATTTTGGGAGTGTTGAGATAAAATGCATACGGTTAAGATCCAGTTAATTGGATAATAAAATAGCAGATTACACGAGCCCATTGACTTGATACATGGGCCAGCTACTTCTTCTTTCCTTTATGCCTATTTCCCTTATAAACTGATTCGCTTTAGACGTGGTCCAGCAGTATAAAAAAAAGCTTTAAACATATGCCTTCTCAACCTCTTCCCTTGATGCACATCTGCCTGTAACCTTGGTAGTCTCACTCCTGCCATGCTCTTCTTGCCAGGGAAAGGCCTCTCTTTAAAGATCAGACTGAGAGCTATTGTTCTGACTACTGGTCTGATTCCCTTAGAAGTATGAATCTAATATAGTTGAAGGTTCAATAGCTAAAACATTGCTGGAGAACTGGACTCTGAATAAATGCACGTCAGCTATTTTGTGATTTTGTAGATAGTATCCAATATTGGATTGTTTTTTTTTTTTGATTCCTTTACAGTAAGGAAACTGTTGTTTAATAGACACTATTTTAACAGTCAAGAAGATCAAGAACCAAATGCATCTGCCCAACGAGGAGCAACTGATCCACGCACATCGAAAAATGAAGCGGATGATTCATTTTGGGTTTCAGACGAAATACCAGGTAGGTTTTTGATTCCTTCATACTTCACAACTATTGTAGAATATCACAAAAGTTGAAGTCGTTGAGTTAATTAATATTGCAGCCGAAGCAAAGGTTTCGCTGGATAGTGCATCATGTAAAGATGCACCACCCAACCGTTTTGTGAGGCCCCCAGCAAATCTAGTAGTGCTTGAAGGTGAATGCTTAGATGTTGATGGTGATGCTGGGGAGCTAGAGTCATATCTGGTAATAAAAGTGTACACGTGGCATTGTTGGATACTTTTTTGCTTTTCTTGCAAATAAAATAAAACAAAGCTTTTTCTATTATTTCAGTTAGCCACGAGTGATCTTTACCGGGATTTTATTCTGTTGGACTCGGGTGATGCTATTGTCGTTAATGCTTTTCTTGATTGTAAAGCTGGCGAAGGACCATCTAATGTTTACTGGGGTGGCTCTGTAACTTCCAAAGGTCGAAAGAACTTTTTGTCACCATTAAGAGAATTTTTGGGAACTGCACAAAAGTTGTCTGTTAAAAAGAAACAGGATGCTAATTTACCACCCCAATCACCTTGTGTTGATCGAGGATTCGAATCTAATGACTGCAATGTTGGGTGTTCTCCTGCTTGTGATTTTCCTGCATATGAAAACGAGGGATTTGGAATGGAAGAGGGTTACTCAGAACATGGAGACTTGGATGGATCTGATGTTGATGAAGATCCATGGAAACCTTTGAATCCCCATGCACAAGGGAATTTGAAAGTTAGACCTTATAAAAAAGGTTGCTTTGAATATCTGAATTTTCATCTGATTTTCTATTAAGTATGTTGTATCTTCCATGTAATGCTTGTGTCTCATTTTTTTCTCATGCAGTGAAGGCTAATACGAGACGAGAAATTCGTTCAAGGAAACATCGTTCTTTAACTACTGAATTTCCTCTTGCTAAACTTCGTGGTCCTATTAGCACTGAACTAACTGAAATATGGGAAGCAAAATTTGGTGCTTCGGAATCACAAGCTGATACACTTTATGACAAGGTATTTGTTTTGGGCGATTATCTTTGCATCTTAACTTCCTTTTCTTTCATAAACTAAAACTCTACTATTTTCAGCTGCGGCAATCACTAGTTTTGGGGGAGAGAAAAACAAATGATGCCTTCAATAGTCCTGAAAATAGAACCGACGACAATGGATATGATAGTGGGGATAGTGGGGGTCCAGATATGGCCCCACCAGATTTTGACATGCCCGATAATGCATTCGATAATGAGGATGTACCTCCATTTCAAGAAAAGGTTTGGCTCATACATTAGGCTTACTTAATGCATTCAAAGCAAAATGTTAGCCGCTTATACTTTTTACTTATGCAGCATGATGATCCAGATACTCATGCAAACCTTGAAGACCTTTGTCGATCTCACTTGGTAAGAACATATTTTCCAGCTTTTCTTATCGACAATGACATCAGAAAATGCACTTGTTTTAAATTATTGGGTCATAGAACGATGTATTATTTGGTCGGAGGGGATAATTCTATCAATAATTGTACAATAGAAGTTTTCCTGATCTAACATATCATTGTAGGATGATCTTCTTGCTACATTTACCGAAAATGAAAAGCAAGCTGAATTGGCTACTCGAGTTTCTACGTGGAAGCAAAGAATTGAGCGAAGCTTGGACGAGCAAGTACATAATCTAACTCTTTTACGTCCATTGAGAATGTTCTTTCACACCCACCCCTACCAAGTTCTTCAAATTGAAAAAAAAAAAATTTTGCGATAACATTCGATATTTATGCCAGGATGCATGTCCACCGTTTGATATTCACAAATATGGTGAAAATGTTCTGAGTAAGCTAACCGTAGAAAGAGATGGTGAAAAAGACAGCTTGTCGTTTGGAGATGTAGTCAAGGGTCAAGAGAAGCATGATGTTGCTCGAACTTTTTCCGCTCTTCTGCAATTGGTAAAGCTCCCCATTGAAACATTCCTTTTAATTTTGCAGTTTTTACTACCGTTTTATGTTAATTTTGTTTTGTAATTCTTGGAACAGGTGAACGATGGAGACATTGATCTGGTGAAAAGCGGCACAAATGTTACCTCGACTTGCCACTCAGACGTGAATCCATTCTTCGTTCGATTACTAAAAAACAAGAAGAAAAAGGGTATGCTGCTCCAGTCAACGAAGAAGAGAGCTAAATCTCCATTAATGAAGGGAAATCCAAAATCGAAAAGCAGCAGCGAAAAGGAGAATTCTCCTGCAGTTAACGTTAATTCATCACCACCTAAAGGATCGGCCTCGAGTTGCAGATTCTCCATAAATCTCGGAAAACCCGGCTTAACTAGATGCACACCTGAAGGTAAGAAGAGAAGAAAAGCCCAGATAGTTGCACCATTGGACATGCATTTTGTTGGCAATTAATTCTTCCACACTTTCAGGAATTTGGTCTTGATCTTTTTTTATTTCCATTGTAATTTTAAACCACTGATGTAACCAAGTGAAAAATTCATGTCTGTAACATTTATTTTCTGTGTAACTCATTAGTCAGATTATTGCAAAATATTATATTATTAGGCAATGCAGAAGTTAGGTTCTTGTTTTATCTATTTGAAACCATAATTGCAACATTATCAAAATGTATTTATTTCATTGACCACTGTTATTGATTGATCATCGTTTCAAATATTTGTTTGTTAAGATAACTTTTCTCGTTCCAAATTATTTGTCATGCAATAATTGATTGATTTTTTCCCGTTTAATCACTTTAATATACGCGCACAACAATCTAAAGCAACAAATATTTTGACACAGACGTAACGAACTTGAATTATTCCTTACGATTTTTGAATATTCAAAAGCAAATTTCTACATATTTTTCGCAGAATAAAGTCAATATATTTTCAATTTTGTACAATACAACCAATCACGCGCCTTCCTCATTCTGCCAAACGGCGTCGTACGGCTATCACTTGCCAGATTCGTCCAGTAAAGCGCGAAACCAGTTCGAACAGGATTTCTTCCTCAGCCGGTTCGACCGGTTCAGGCACAGTTTCTCCATCGACCGGTTGGTCCGGTTCAGGCACAATTTCTCCATCGACCGGTTCGGTTGGTTGCGACGGAATTCCTCTCTCAATCGATTCGCCCTCCATTGATGGATCTTCAACCACCACTGCTTCGACTACCGTACGACAAAGAGGGCAAGTAGTGGCTGAAAGGAACCACTTATCGACACACTTCAGATGAAAGAAATGCCCGCACTTGGGCAACAGCCGGAGACATTCATTTTCTTCGAACTCCGACAAGCAAACGGCGCATTCGGCGAGGCGGTGCTCCGGCGCCGCCGTCGAGGGATAAAGAAGCGTCGGAACGGAGTTCAAGACGGCCGGTTCGAGGCCGCGGAAGACGGCTCTGTTCTGGAATAACCTCCTCAAATCTCTCACGATGCGGTCGACGGCTTCGTCCTCGATCTGTGTCAGGGCGGCGATGCGGCGCTGATGGCGGCGGTGGAAGTAAAATCGGAGACAGGTAGTGAAGCCTAGACCGGAAAAGAGGCCGATAGAGAAGTACCCAATCAATTCTCGATCCATAACCTGAAGAAATCAATTCAAAACCCTAATGAAACGCCGACGAGAGAGACGTCTGCTGGTTTAAGAAGTAAGAAGATGTGTTGGAAATGACGGAAAAGGGCATGAAGAGATGGGCTATTTACGTAAATCCCCAATTGCAAATGGAGGGTAACGGCGGGAAAGGGTCACGATTATGAATAGAGATAAACAATGGCGGATTTGGGGACAATTAGAAGGAAAAAGGAAGGCGTGTGTGTGAAATGACGAAAAGGGGCACGACGAAGGGTTTTGTAGAACCTACATCTGCCGAAATACACTAGTTTTAAAACATTGATCTATACATAATAACACACATCCATGTATATGTGTTTAGTGGCTAGGCATTTATGTAAATCTACAATTTATAACCACATAGTATATTTCAGGTATAGACGTTTTACATCGTTAAAAGTTCGTTTGAACTCATTTTTTCAATGTAAAACCCTTCTAAAAGTTATGGAGCTCGACTAGTCATACGAAGCTCGAATATAACTTTTAAAGTTCGATAAAAATGAAAATGAGTTTGAACTAACATGAATGAATATTATGAACTTGAGTTATTATAACATCTAATTTTTGAAAGATCAAAAGCAAGCTTATATATAAATACTTTTCTCAATGCAGAAGAAAAGGGGAAACATTTCTGCAGAACAAAGTCGATATATTTTTATTTACAAATTCATCGCATATATTTGTCATTTTTGTACAAATAAGTAACTATATGATCAATCTTTATCCATAGGGCAGGGTCCAGAATCCAAGCCCGAACCCGGTTCCAACCCATTTTCTTCCTCAATCGGTTCACACAGCCCCAGCACAATTTCTTCCTCAGCCGGTTCGGCCGCCATTGATGGGTCTTCAATCACCACGGCTTCGACTTCAGTCCGGCAAATAGGGCAAGTAGTGCCTGAGATGAACCACTTATCGACACACTCCAAATGGAAGAAATGGCCGCACTTGGGGAGGAGACGCAGACATTCATTTTCCTTAAACTCCGACAAGCAAACGGCGCATTCGAGATTGAGCTGGTGCTCCGGCGCCGCCTTCGAGGGATACAGAAACGTCGGAACGGAGTCCACGACGGCCGGTTCGAGGCCGCGGACGGCGGCTCTGCTCTCGAGTTCCCTCTCGATGTATCTGAGGAGGCGGCCGAGGGCTTCGTCGGCGATGCGTAGCTGGGCGATGCGGCGCTGATGGCGGCGGTGCAAGTAAAATCGCGAACAAATGTAGAATAATGCTATGAAAACGAGATTGAAAGAGGCGAACGCCACCGTTTGTCGATCCATTATCATATCCTGCAGAAATCAAATCAAAACCCTAAACAAATGGGAAAGAGCCGATGGGCGTATTCGGAATTGAGAGCAACTTTAAGAGTGAACTCGTAAGGTCTGTGAAATGACGAAAAAGGGCATGAAGACATGTATTTTGTTTATTTGATTTGACGCAATTTTGTTTACTTAATGTTAAATAATCTATATAATTGAACATGAATTCGAGTGTGATCATATAAAGCACTACAGTGATGAAATGTGTGTTAAATATCATCCTTTTTTAGGAAATCAAAAGTTAATTACATTCTGTTATAAAGTCGAAATATTTCGAATCAGAAGCGGTGGAAATCGAGAAGTTCGTCTTTTACATAGAAAAACAAAATTACATTGATATTATTAGCGTAAATTTTACATTTTTTTAAAATTAAAATTTGATCATAATTTCCAATAGATTTCAATTTCAAGTAAATGGAAATAAATAAAAAATTCAAAATCCTCCGGTTCAGAATTCAGAATAAAAAATTTGGTTCCAAAATCGTAAATTTTTCAAATCAAAATCGGTATAAATCGAAAGTTCGATTCTGATTCGCACGCGTAGGTGTTATATGTGACACTCCCTCCGAGTTTTCGTATTTCAATCTATGAGAAGAAGACGAAACATGCTTTCATCACACTGGGTTGTTCAAACCCATTACACATTCTTTATTACCTTCAATCTGTAAAACTCAATTTTTTTACAGAAACAACAGAGGAAATTAAAAATAAGCCCGGAATTAATATAAAGATGGATGTGCTTATCTCAATGCTTAATTCTATGGCGTCTTTCAACATCAAAGTGCATATCAAATAAGCCTGTTATTCCCGCTTCGATTTTTTGACCTATCTTAACGGGGCCCACACCTTTAGGAGTCCCTGCATATTATAGACGGATCAAATTGTTAGTTGTTTCGACCTTTTAACACGATTCAAACAGGGAAGCCATCGTATCCCTCAAACATGCTTGATATTCAGCACTATCAGAGAAGAATAACGCAAATATGTGACAGTCAAAACGTTTTGCAACTATATACAAGTATATTCGAATCTAGCTTTCTTGATACCTGTAAGAATGACATCACCCTCAAGAAGGGTAAACATAGAACTGATGTGGCTAATCAAGAACGGGATCTTAAATATCATATCACTAGTTGATCCTTTCTGACGTAATTCTCCATCGACCTACAAACAGAAAATGATTTACTCGCAGAAGCAACGAAGGGTGAAGAGTTTTGAGAATAAAGAACAAGTACCTTTAACCACAGTTCTACATTGTGAGGGTCTGGTAACATAGATGTTGGTACCTGCAAATTTACAGTTAAAATTTTGAGGATACATAATTATAGAGTGCTTATAAGTAGATTGTGTTGGACGAAATCTGGTGTGTTCTAGAGTTGCTACGAGTAAACCAAAGAGGCAATTTATCTTTGAAAGTAAAACACGTGATCTTGTTCAACTTCCAGAAAAAATAAATGCCCGATGCAACAAGGACAAAATTTATCTTTTGGATGGCCTTATTGAAAACAAATAACTATGATTCTACTCCTCACCTTCAATCATATCCTTTAATAACATATCAAGAAACGAAAGACAAAAATACAGAGATGGAGTTCTTACAATGGAGCTGATTGGTGTGAAGGTATCTTGGCCTTTAGCTACAGACCATGGAAGACCTGCAGACTTTGGCATAGAATTGAAAAGATGAACAATAAGCATGTAAAAAGGAATAAACCATAAACAATTATCCACTTTGAAATGCATTTCTAAATCGCGTAATACGGATTTCACGATAAAATTTAACATTGCACAAACCTTGGCAGTAGATTGGATCTCCCTTGCAGTCATATCCAAAGCAAGAGCATACCCTGGAACACGAGAGTGTCACCACCAAAAATTGGGACAATGCATAAATTTCAAACTTGCATCTTCGAGTAAAAAGTATCAGAATTTTTTTCATGCCCCAAGAATTCTAAAGAGTTTGCAAGTGATTGATTTCAACTATACCTTTTTCTTTTTTTTTTTTTTTTTTTGTAAGAAGAAAGAGACAACGATGCATTTAGAATGTAGCATTGATCTTGAACCAGACATTACACAATTCTCAAGGGTTTGTAATTTGGATATCCCTAGCTCAACATTTTTGAACAAGTAGAGCATTTCTTATTATAGACGAATGCCAGTCAAATTATCTGATTGCAGTACAAAACTCATATCCGATTCCGTAATGTAATTGGTTAAAACTTAATAATGTTGAGAACTAGAAGCACAGAAATACTTCAGAACATAATACACTACAAAATTTTATAAGCAGCAAGCTGACATAATAACAGTGAATTATCGAAAGATGGAATGCGTTTTGCATAGGGAAGAAAGAAACACCTACTTCCAAATAAACAATAATTATAAGCTCGCTGTATGTATTTATGTATGTATATGTGATATACCTCCAACGTAGTCCATGGCGTTAGCCTCAGGCACGTCACGAGCGCGTTGACCGATGACCACCGCCAGCTCAACCTCGTGATCCAGCGCCTCTAGCGGCTCCGGCACCTGAATTTTACCCCCATCCTCCAAATACGACGACGTCGGCTTCAGAAACAGCACCGGCTCCTTCAAAAAAAAAAAAAAATCATCAAATCGGATTCATCAATCAATCAATCAAAGCGTTTTTTCATAAAAGAATATGTAAGATAAACTCGACGGATACCTTAGGCACGGCGTTTCCGAGTTCCTTCGCGTGCGCGGCGTAGTTGCGGCCGACGGCGATGATTTTGGTTCCTACAGTCAGAAGCTTCTTGTACGCCGATGCTGACGTGGTCATCCTCCGGAGATTTGGAATTGCTCTAATGAATTTATCGCCGGCGAAGAGCGTGTTACAGTACGGTGGCGACAATCTGAGGATCGAAGCAGCCATGGATGCCACCATTTAGTATGTATAGGTTTACACATAGCCAATTAGTGTTGTACTGCTCGCCCTACTACTTGTACATTACTGCACATTTGGGTAAAACAGCCATCTTTGGAGAAATTGATTTTCCAGCCCGACCCGACAAGGCCCGATTAAAAATCACACTCGGCCCAACCATCTGAGCCTCTCTTGTGGCCCAATCTGCCAATACAGCCCATGTAAAATAATTAGGGCCCGATTATTTATTGTTTATTTTAAATTTTAAATATATTTATAAATAATAAATTGGCTAAATTTAATAAAAATAATAAAATAAATGAACAATTCATAAACATGTAATTAAAAGAACCCTGGATTACGCTACGCCGCTCTTTAAAATAAAATAAAAAAAAATTAAATTTATTTTCTCTGCGATTCTCTTTCTTCCCCACCACGCACATAGTACACACACATTGAGATTCTTCCACACGCAGCTATATTCCTAAAACCCCTTCCAATTTGAGCTTACAATTGCTATACATACATATATAATATATACGTATACGCCGCCATAGCAGAGTTCTCCAAATTCCTGAGACTGAGCGGCTTTAATCAGCTTTTTTTTTTTTTTTGAGATAAAAATGGCGACAAGGATTGCTCTGAAATTCTTAAGAGACTGCTCTGTTTATAGGAAGATTAAATCCAACAATATTTCGCGGCATTCATTCTGCACAGGTGCTTCAACTGCAGCTACTCCTCCGCCTCCAATCTCCAAAAAAGTTCCTCAGTTTTCCAAAACGGTAATTTTATCCCTCTTTGGTTTTGCAATTGCAGTTCTTAAATTTATTGTAATTCTAATAGGAGAAGGAAGTTTGATTCTCTGCTTTTGATCTTTTGTGAGAACTTTTTGAAAAAGGCATTTGCATAAGCAAATAAATTTAGTTGTTTTTTCCCCTGTTCATGTAATCCCAATTGATATTGTGGTTTATGGTGCCATGAGATTTTGATTTGATTTAGGCCTTAATTTTGTTGTCTTTTAGTGATATTGTACATATAAACTTTCGGTTAACTTAGTTTCGTACTCGGCCTGTCAATTAGAAACTTGTGGATTGATAACTTAGATTTAACTGCGAATGTCTGAATAAAAGTGTCTCGTCGTGATTTTTATAAATGCTTAGTATTTGCATTTGAATGCAGGGTAGGTTATTTACTGGAGCTGTTCTAAGTCTACTTATAGGTGGAGGAGCATATGCGAGTACTGTGGATGAAGCAACTTTCTGGTACCGAGTCTGCGATCACCCTTTTTTCCCTCCCTTTCTTTTGCATTTTTGCTTGTATTGCTTGGAACTTTCCAAATAGAAAATAATGCATCTTAACCCTAAAGATTTAACTTCTTTACATTCACGTGAGCTTTTCCTTGAGCTCGAGATGGCACTAGTTCACTTTTTATACTAGTTATGACCACATGGTAAGTCAGGTTTGTAATTCGATGTTATGTGCAAGTATAACATTTCTTAACGTATTTCATAAAAGCTTAAAACAAATTCAAGCTGTAGTTATTAAGCTAGGTTGCAATCTTCGAGCTGATTTAAGGTAGTTTTTATTTATAAAGTTACGTAGCAAATCTTGTAGGATAGTTAGTGAAGTTGAATGCAGTATTTTGTAGGTTGTACGTGAAAAGAAAAATGAGCTAGTCATTTGAATTAAGAACTACTACTGAACTTCCTTCTATAGATGGAAGCCATTTCCAAATATTACTTAAAGTTAATATCTTTGCTATAACTTTAAGTTTTCCCAGAAATATGTATTGACAATCATTTGAATGATGCAAATTATGCAGTGACTGGCTATTCTCGGCAACAAAATTAGTCAATCCTTTCTTTGCATTTCTGGATCCAGAAATTGCCCACCGACTAGCAGTTTCTGCTGCAGCTCGTGGGTGGGTCCCGATAGAGAAGAGGCCCGATCCACAAATATTAGGCCTCCAAGTTTGGGGAAGAAGATTCTCCAATCCAATTGGTCTTTCTGCAGGTTTTGACAAAAATGCCGAAGCTGTTGAAGGCTTACTCGGGTTAGGTTTTGGCTTTGTGGAGGTTGGCTCGGTCACCCCAGTTCCACAGGAGGGTAATCCAAAGCCTCGTATTTTCAGATTGCCAAAGGAAGGGTAAGATCGTAATTTTGAATATTCTGTTAATCTTGATTCTATCTCAATTGTGTAATTCTAAAAAAAGGGCGTTCTTGATTTGTGTGGCAGTGCTATAATCAATAGATGTGGATTTAATAGCGAAGGAATTGTTGCTGTTGCAAAGAGGCTTGGTGCACAACATGGTAAGAGAAAAATGGAGACATCGAGCAGTTCATCTTCGACTGAGGATGAAAATGTGCATGGAGGGAAAGCGGGACCCGGAATTCTTGGGGTTAATCTTGGAAAAAACAAGACTAGTGAAGATGCTGCCGCTGATTATGTTCAAGGAGTTCATACATTATCACAATATGCTGATTACTTGGTATGTCTGTGTGTGTATATGTATAGTTTACTTTTTTACGGTTCAAATATTTAAGTTTTTTACGATATAGGCATTAATGTGTAGGTTATCAATATTTCATCCCCCAATACTCCTGGATTGAGACAACTTCAGGGGAGAAAACAATTGAAAGACCTTGTTAAGAAGGTATGGACCGTACTTTTTTTATTCATTTTATATATATATATATATATATATATATATATATATATATTGTTTTGATGTTGGATTTTGTCAGATACAAGCGGCTCGGGATGAAATGCAATGGGGTGAAGAAGGGCCACCACCACTGCTTGTGAAAATTGCTCCAGACTTGTCTAAACAGGATCTTGAAGATATTGCAGCGGTATACATATATTTATTGTCTCGCTAATTTTTCCTAATGTTAACAGGCTCTGAACATTTTCTCTTGCCGTGTAGGTTGCTCAAGCTCTTCGAGTTGATGGATTGGTATAGTTTTCCTTATCCACTATATCTTCTTTTATCGTTTTTTTCCCTTATATTTTATTTATTATTAATTCTATGCTTGTAGATTATATCAAACACAACAATTCAAAGACCTGATTCTGTAAGTAAAGATCCTACTGCTGAAGAAACTGGTGGCTTAAGTGGAAAACCACTCTTCGACTTATCCACAAATATTCTCAAGGACATGTATAATCTTACAAAGGTAATTGCGTTATCCTCGTTTTTTTTTAATCTACTAATACGGACTTTCACTTCTATATGATCCAATACAATATAGTGAAATAGTTGCTTGCCTTTCACGAATATGACCGGTGCAACACTTGTGTTATAATAGGGAAGGATTCCTTTGATTGGCTGCGGAGGTATTAGCAGGTAACATCACTCTAAACATTATTACTTTTATTATAATTATAATTATTTTGTAGTTTGCCATAAACTTGAACGATGATTTTTTTTGCAGTGGAGAAGATGCATACAAGAAAATACGTGCTGGAGCAACACTCGTCCAGCTTTACACTGCATTTGCGTATGGTGGGCCCGCCCTTATACCTCAGATCAAGGTACAGAAATCCCATCTTTTTCCGACACAATATTAGTGAATAAAATTTCTGCATGAATTAGAAAATTTTCGATATTTTCGTCTTCTTATTAGATAAAACGTAACAAATACTGAAAAAAGAAGCTAGTTTTTACTCGTTTTTTTTTAAATGACATTTTCGATGTGTTTTAAAAGGCGGAACTTGCGGAATGCTTAGAGAGAGATGGTTACAAGTCTATTTATGAGGCTGTTGGAGCTGACTGCAGATAGCCTCGAATGCCTAGAGGCATGTTACATTATCGTTTTTTTATTTATGATTTTTCCCTTTGAGTATTTATTTCTCTCCATTTTTTTTTATGTACCACAGTTGAAATGTTGATCGGTTTTTGAAATTCGTTATTGGATTGAAATAATTATAGAGTTATTTATGATTGTTTATGGATTCTCTCTCTTGGAAAAAAAAAAATCGAATATTGAAATGAAAAAATTGTTCCAAAATTGGAAATTTTGATTATATATATATGGGCTTGGGTCCTTAATTTAACTTTAGTTTAAATGGGTCCAAGTGAGATAGAATTAATTAAAGTTTGGGCTTAATTCCCGTTTATTGAATTTCTGATTTAAGATATTATTACTTTTGGGCCAAGGCCCATCATACTTCTTTTAAATATTTATATTGAATATTAAACTTACATGTTTTATACATGTATCAAAACATGTATATATAAGTTCGTATATTATATAACTGTATATAATCTATATATAATATAAAAAGAGGATCTATGCCCTCAATGATTGACATGTGGCAAATGATGATGTCATTTGTCAAAATTGCTTAGTTGGAGTTAAATTGATGAGGTGGATTCTTCAATTGATTAGGTGGCATTTTTATTTATGGATGTTTTTAAATTTTTTCCTATTTTACATTTACACAATCATTAAATAATTACCACATGTATAAATATTATTTCCAAAGTTAATATTTTACAAAATTCGAAATAATTTTTTTTTATTTATATTTTCAGTATTTCAAAATATATTTATTGAAAAAAATTCATGAAACTCAATTTTTTTACGAATATTCAAATAATTTTCAGAAAAAACATTTTTTTTATATTAAAATATTAAAATAAAGGAATACGATTTTTTTTTTAATTTTCAATAGTTTGGAATATTCGGATATCCATTCAATAAAAAAAAATTGGGATATCTGTATAAAATGAAAATATTAATAAATTAAAATATATTTCATAATTTTTCATTTGAATCTATAAATTTAATATATATATATAAACTAATATATATATATATATATATATATATATATATATATATATATATATATATATATATAGATATATATATATTTCGAATTTATTTTTATTTATCAAATAAATATATAAATAAAATTTATAATTTTTATTAATATATGCAAATATCGGTTATCCTGGGAAATAATATATATATATAT